ATGAGTTTTTTTTGTTGGACCTTTCAAGCTCCAATAAGATAATTGGGTCTCATTAGATTATTTAATCTTATCTTGGCTAATCTTATCTTGTCAACCAAACGGGGCCTTACTCTATTACACAATAATAATGAGGTTTTTTGTGTTAATATTAATGTGCTAGTGATTAATATAACAATATTACTGTGTTAAACTGTAGTTTAGTTAATTTTAATGTGTTTAACAGTAATATAGTTAATATTAACTATATTACCGTCAATCACAATAATATTGTTGTTTAAACGAAAAAAAAAGTTATAGTTACAGAAAAAAAAAAATCAAAAAAGTCAATGCCGGAAACCGGTGAAAAAATCCAAAAGAAGAAAAATGAAAAGTCAACGCCGAAATCCGGCGGAAAAAGAAAAAAAATTGAAAAAAAAAAGTTTTTGATCAAAATTGAATAATTTGTGAAATTTGGTGTCATATTGATGTTAAATTAAGTTAATGATGAAATTGGAGCATATTTTAGTCCCTAACATAAATCTGACCATGTGTGAACTCACTGGTAAATAAATTTTTTATTTGAATATTTTTATGAATAAGTACCGATTTGCTTATTTGTCATGACCTCTATTTTAAATTTAAAAAAAATATATATTAATTATTATTTATTGAAAACAAAATTATAATTTATCAAAAATAATTTTAAATATGGAATATTGTATCCGTCATACTAAATGGGCCATAAGGCAGCACACCGTTAAATTCTCGTGGGATTCATCCAAATGTCTAACCCTGACGCGCCGCCGCTCTGTTTACCAACCACCGCCACCGCCACCACAACAAACCTTCCAGAAAGTCAACACCAAGAGCAGACCTACCGCCTCGATTCGATCGATTCAACCATAACCATCCGGCAATTCCCCTCACAAGGCATCTCCTTCCAGCTCTGGCCCGCCGCCGCCACCCTCGTAACCCTCCTCGACCGCCACAAACTCCGCCACCACCCTAGCAACACCGCCTCCCCACTCTCCTCCACGCTCATCACCCCGCACCGCCGCCTCCGCATTCTCGAGCTCGGATCCGGCACCGGCATCGTCGGGATCGCCGCCGCCGCCTTACTGGGGGCTAAAGTCACAGCCACAGATCTCCCCCACGCGCTTCCCAACCTGCAGTTCAACGTCGCCGCCAACGCCGGAATCTTCGAACCCCACGGCGGCGCAGTCGAAGTGGCGGCCCTCCAATGGGGGGAGAAAAAGGACATGGAAGCCATCGGCGGCAGAGATGAGTACGATCTGATCCTAGGCTCCGACGTAGTGTACCACGACCACCTCTACGAACCACTGCTCGAAACCCTAAAATTCTTCCTGCTGGGAACTGATCGGAAAATGGTGTTCGTGATGGGCCATCTGAAGAGATGGAAAAAGGAATCGGCATTCTTCAAAAAAGCTAACAAGTATTTTGACGTTGACGTTTTACACACAGATACACCCTCCAACGGGTCCAGGGTTGGTGTTATTGTTTACCAATTTTTAAGAAAGAAGAAGAACTGACATTATCGAATTATCAAATTAGTCCTTCATATTATTATTTAATTCCGCTTTACTTCTTTATGTTTTTCTTGTTTTTTTTTTTTTCTTTTTCATCCCTCAACCTCATAATTCAGGGCCATTTTTTTTTTTAGAATATTTCGGATTTTTTTTTTGAGAATTGGGGTCATTTTGTAATTATTTACAAAAATACAATAAAGCGTCGTTCAAAATGACGCGCTTTAACAGCCGTTGGATTGAGCTGAGATTTACGGCCAGATCTTCTAGCTTGTCCTCCTAATCTGACGGTCAGGATAGATCGCAAGATCTGACGGTCGCTAAAACGCGTCATTTTGAATGACGCGCTTTAGCAGCCGTTGGATTGAGCTGAGATTGACGGCCAGATCTCCCAACTTGTCCTCCTAATCTGACGGCCAGGGATAGATCGCAAGATCTGACGGTCACTAAAACGCGTCATTTTGAATGACGCGCTTTGACCTGTCAGATGGTCAAACGCGTCATTTCAAACTACGCGTTTTAGCGGCCGTCCGATTCGTCTCGATCTAACGGTCCTGATTTCGGCCGAATATATATATATATATATATATATATATATATATATATATATATATATATATATATATATATATATATATATATATATATATATATATATATATATATTATCCTATCCCTTAAACAAATCATTCCACATTTTGCTGCCTTGCTCCCTTCTTCCCAACACCAACACCGTAAGTTTTCTTCCTCTTCCTTTTTTATTTGTTAATTATTAATTATTATTGTTTAATTTATATTTTAACTAATGTAGGTAATTTAATTAATTTCAGCCGGGTACTTATTGAGGTAATTTTTTTCACTCTTTCAATTATTATTATAGTGGATTAATGAAATTTTGATCTAATAAATTATCAATTAATTTGGAGATAAATTATTTCTTGTATCGTTAAAATATATATAATTTATATATTATGAAATTCAAATTTTTATTGTTGTTTTTCGTTGTTATTTTTAGGTTAAACTTTAACTTATGGTGGATTTAAGAAGGAATGTTTGATTGTGTTTAAATAATTTCTGAAATTTAAATTTTTTGTAATGGTTTAAATATGATACGAGTAGAATAATTAGTAAGATAAATTAATTAATTATTAGTGTGTTAGTGGATAAATTGGTAGAATTAGTCATGACATTAGAATAGGTATTACCTCAACAAGACCATAAATCGTCTTTTTTACCATTAATTACTTAGTGCCATTAATTTTGACCATAAATCGTTTTTTTTACCATAATTAGAATTTAGATTTCAAATTCATGATTTCAAACCGTTCGAATTTATGGATGTTTGGTCAAAATTCAAAATCAATGACTTCAAAATTCTTATTTTTTTTCTTTTCAATTTATGAAAATTGTAAAATTACACTTTAGCCCCTCAAGTTTACATCAGTTTCACTTTTGATCCTATGTTTTAATAATTTAACATATTTTTATCCTTTTTTTTTTTTTAAATAATGTCTGAAATTTAAATTTTGGTGTGTTTTAATTGTTATAATTAGGTGAAATGTAATTTGTTGTGGATTGAGAAGGGATTTACGCTGCTAGCAAATAATAATTATTTGGAGGTATTTATTTTTTATATTGGACAAATATTATTATTTTTAATTGCTGAAATTTAATTTTGTTTTTTATTGTTATAACTAGGTGGAAGCTTAGTTTGTGGTGTTTTGAGAAGGGATTTTTGTAGCTAGCAAATAATAATATTTTGAAGGTAATTATTTGTTATATTGTACAAATGTAGTACAACTTGGAGCTATTTTTTTCCCCCCATTTTTAAATAATTGCTGAAATTTTTATTTTGATGGTCTTTTTATTATTATAAATAGTTGCGGTATGCAAGGGATGACAAATAATCATGGCAACTTGAACATCAATTATTGCGCCGCAATTCTATTGAAAAGTGTTCGTGAAAATCCAGTTTGTGAGATTTCAAAGGCAAGAGAGATTGTGACCGCGCAAATAGGATATGAGATATCCTACATGAAGGCATGGTACACTTTGAAGCGATGCAGAGAAAATGTATATGGAACATGGGAGAGTTCGGTCCAGAAGTTGCCAAAATTTATGAAAGCACTTCAACAAAGGAATACAGGCACAACTGTTGAGTGGGAACATCACGCGACAAATCATCCATCGAAATTCATAATCAAATACGTCTTCTGGGCCTTCAAGCCGTGTATTGATGGTTTCAAATACTGTCGTCGGGTGATCAGCGTCGATGGAACTCATTTGTACACTAAGTACAAACATAAGATGTTGCTTGCTGTGTGTTTGGATGCGAATCAACAAGTTTTACCACTTGCGTATGCAATTGTTGATGAAGAGACCGCAAGTGCATGGAAGTGGTTTTTCAAATGCATTGACAAACATTTACTTTCGGGCATATCGGATGGTATTTGTATAATTTCGGATCGAGGAACCGGTATTTTAAGTGCCATCGATTCAATGCCCGAGTTTCGGCCCCCTCGTATCACCCATCGATTTTGTTTGAGGCATGTTTGTTCAAATGTCAACGCCAAGTTTAAGAGCATTGTGGTGAAAGATTTTTGTTACGCTGCTGGAAAACAATCTCAGGTTTGGAAGCTGAACCGGTATTTGGACAAGATTGGTGAGGAAAATCCCAATGCACTCAGATACTTGATGAACATGGATCGAGAAAAGTGGACTTTAGCACATGATGGAGGGTCTCGACGCGGTCAGTTGACGACCAACTTGTCCGAGTCCATCAATGGTGCTTTGAAAGGTGCTCGTAAACTGCCTGTCACAGCTATTGTGGATTTTACATTTCATCGAGTGGTTAAGCACTTTATTAATCGAGTAGCGAAAGGTAATAAATGGGAGCAATTGGGACAACGATGGGCCGAATTTCCATTGAAGAAGTTCAAATTATGGGAGGAACATTCGACGACACATTACATGAGAAGGTTCAACACTCGCAACTACGCTGGTGAGGTATTCACCAGGGCAAAACCTCAAGGAGGTGGAGGAAAAACACATTGTGTCGATCTTAGGGCCAAAGAATGCTCGTGTAATAAGTGGACCTTGTTTGGGATTCCTTGTTCTCATGTGCAACATGTATGTCGTGATTTCCGTTTGGATGCCGAAACTTTGGTTGCCGAGTACTACAGTGTTAGAAACCATAAGAACACATATAGTGGCGTGTTTCACCCTTTGCTGCCTGAAATGTGCTGGGAGGATGCAGATTTTGAGCTATTTCACGATGTTACCCTACGGAAAGCTACACGACGGGGTAGGCCAGAAAGTTCTCGTATTCGTAACGAAATGGACCGACCACAAGCGCGTGCTAGAAGAAAATCTCGGGCAACACAAGAATCACACTAGTTATTTTATGTTCTATGTTATGTTATGTTAGGTTATGTTATGTTATGTTGTGTTTGTTAGTTTATGTTATGTTATGTTATGTTATGTAATGTTTGACTTGAAAATTCGGTTTCGCTTTCGCTTTCAAATGGCTTCGACTCGACAAAAATACCTAATAAAACCCTGAAATAGAAATAAAACAAGAAACGCAACAACAATAATAATAATAATAATAATAATAATAATAATAATAATAATAATAATAATAATAATAATAATAATAATAATAATAATAATAATAATAATAATAATAATAATAATAATAATAATAATAATAATAATAATAATAATAATAATAATAATAATAATAATAATAATAATAATAATAATAATAATAATAACAACAATAACAAGAACAATAACAATAACAATAACAATAACAATAACAATAACAATAACAATAACAATAACAATAACAATAACAATAGAAACAGGATTGAAATGGAGAACGCTGTATACGGTCCCCGAGATCCCTCACTTCTGTATCTTCAGAATGATCATAGATCAAGTGCTTTGACAGAGTCTAATATGGATACGAGCATACGAGTTAGACGAAGTGATCATGGGATATGGAGTGTCTTTCATAGGCCGCACAACCCTCATCCTCATCCTCGGGTGTTATGTTATTTGGTCCAGATGAAGTTATATGGTGTATATCGATGTCGACGTATGCAAGCAGATTGGGCTCTTATCACTGCATTAGTAGAGAGATGGCGCCAGGAGACTCACACATTTCACCTGCGTGTAGGGGAGGTGACAGTCATCCTACATGACGTGGCGTTGATATACGGACTACCGGTTGACGGACGTCCGGTCATAGGAGTTGATACTCATCGTAGGACTCGTGAGTGGCAGCAGTATTGTATGACATGGCTGGGATTTGCACCGGATTCATCAAAGATAAAAGGATCGAAGTTGAGCGTCAAAGCCCTTAGTGAATATTTAATCAATAATCCCGTTCTTGATAATAGTACATATGAGCATCTTGTTCATTACACTCGAGGGATTGCTTTTCTCATAGTAGGGGGGATTATGTGTCCCGATCACACTGGCGACTCTATTCCGTTGCTGTATTTGAGACATTTAGAAGATCTTGATGCTGTCAGTACATATAGTTGGGGTAGTTGTACTCTAGCAGTCCTCTACCACGAGTTGTGCAAAGCATCGAAGATATCTGCAAAAGAAATCAGTGGTCCTGTTCAATTATTACAGGTAACATAATGAATTACTTATATAATTTAGTACATTAATACATTTAATTTGCAGTTTATATTATAAAAAATTTATATTCTTGTATTATTTAACAGATATGGGCATGGATGCGGATTCCTCCATCAAGGCCCATACCTACTCTGGCGAAATGGGGCACAACACTTGAGTATGCAGGATATGAGTTTCCCGTACCACCTTACGGTGCACGGTAATGGTTTTGAGATTTATGTTAAATTATTTTTGCATTATTGTTACGGTGATTTGTGTATTAATTTTTTGTGTCTATAAATATAAGGGTTTGTTTGAGCCAACTTCCACTATATTTTTCTAACATTTTCAGTCAATTTTACTTGAAAAAATTTGATATTTTTCTTTTTTTCTTCAAAACATTTAATTACTTAGATTTTTTTTTTTACATTTTCTAAATAAAACCTTTTATTTTTGTCATTTTGAATTTCTTTCGGCAGTTCAAATTCTCAACAACAATATGATTTTGAACCTTATCTTTATTATTATCTTAAGTTTAATATATAATAATATATCACAGGTGGACCAACCATGTCAGCTTCATTGAGACTGGTGCACATGTTCTTCGTATATTTAGGATGATGTTGGATCAGATGCTCCCAGATCAGTTTATATGGACGCCATATGATCTGGATGATCCGGAGTATCAGTCTGTAGGTGGTGATTCGACGATCACATGTAATGGTTTATGGGTATCGAGAGTCCCCCTGATATGCTACGCAATTGTGGAGATGCATCGACTAGACAGAGTAGTACGTCAGTTCGGGATGGTACAACCCATACCTGAACCTCCTGAAAATACTGAGACGGATTTCCGGATGCACGTCAATGCTAACCGTACAGGTGCTACCAACCGAGACTGGAGGCTTACACATGTTTCGCATGTTACCGCTTGGGATAATAGACTCGATTATATTGTTGATTATCCATATGCCAGTGACAGTCAGACTACAGAAGATGGTTATTTTGAGTGGTATGAACTGCACACACGTCGTTTCATATCACCGATTACCCCATCTGATCGTACAGGATTTCAGGTTGGAGGTCAGATTTCAATGGATACAGTGGTACGTATTCAAATTTATTTATTATAAAATTTTGTGTATTATATAATTTTTATTAATGTATGTCTTCTAAAAATAAAGTATTTCTTATTACTTATTTCAGATTCAGCATCTTCGATCGTTGATTGTTTCTGTTGATGGCGGAGACATGCCCCGGGATGGCTATCGTTCGTATTTACCGAATCTCAGAACATGTCTTAATGTCTTAGAGTCTCGACACGGACCTTCAGATAGGCCTCAATCTGAGATGCCTTATACTCAGACTCACTCTCAGACTCAGACTCAGATACCACTGTCTCAAATGCCTCAGTCACAGACTCAGATGTACGCTGGCGAGGCAGGAACTTCTTCTCGTGCATATTATCCGGCATTCGATAATTATACAGATCCTAGAGCACACGGGCATCCATCTGGTATGTTTAGTACCTTTGATTTTATTTTTAATACTATCTACAACTGTGAGTTTAATTATAATCTCGTTGATGCAGATCCGTACACCCCATACCCCTACTTTAATCCGAATATGAATTCGGAAGACCCAATTCATTTGGGGTCTACGCATCAGTTTTCGTCTTCGCGACCGGTAGATCATCAGATCACACCTATTCCTTATTTTGAATCCGTAAATTCTTCGAGTGATGAGGATGAACAAGTTGGTAGAGGGCACAGGACTAGAAGGCCCCCGAGATGTGGCACCGGAGGTCACCGTCATTGGTGATATTATTATTGTAGTTTATGTTGGTTATTTATTAAAACTTTTTCGTATTTTAGTTATTCAATAAAAAACAAATTAAATAAACTAAAGGATTTAGAGACAAAAAATATTTCCCAATAATTAGGCATTTTATTTTTATTTAATAAAATATGGAAATCGGACGGAATGGATCGAAAATGCCTTTTTTGGAAATTTTCCAATTTTTTCGGAAGTTAAAAATAGGTTCCAATTTCCGTTCCAAAAAAATCGGAATTTCAAAATCCATTCCAATTTCGGAATACCTCGGAATCGGCGAAATTTCGAAATTTTCGGAAATTGCATTAATTCTTAATGTTTTGTTCCAAAATTGGAAATAATGGTAATTTTTAGTATTTTTTTTTTAATATTTTCGTAATTTTCCGGCAAAAGGCAAGAATCCAAAGCAAAGTTCAATCAAATAAAATTTAAACACTTGTAAAAACAACATAATTGATATATCAAAGCAACTATAATTCTTGCAAAACATCAATAGAAAAATAATTCAAAAATACAATATATATATATATTTCCAACATGATTATTTCAAACATATATATATATATTTCCAACATAATTCAAACATGATTATTTCCGAAATACAATCGGATCGGAAATCGGAATTTCCAATAATTTTATATGTAATTCCAATTCCGTTCCAAAAATAATCGGAAAAATCGGAAATCGTAAATCGGAAATTGGAATGAAAAAAAATGTTCCAAATTCGTATTATTTTATAGTGAACTATAAAATAAATTGCATAAATAAATGAAGGAAAATTTTTAAAATACAATATATAATTAATTTAAAATTAAAATTCAATTAACCATTCCAATTTAACAATAAAAAGAATTAAGTAAATTTAAAAAACCTTAGATCAAATCCAGCCGTTGATATAAACACAATCCAACGGCTGGTAAAAGGCGTCATATTAAATGACGCTGTAATCCAGTGTGGCGGGTCAAAGGGCGTCGTTTTGAATGACGCCTTTTAACGGCCGTCCGATTGCCCAGATTAATCTCTGGCCGTCAGATTAGGAGGACAAGATAGGAAATCTGGCCGTCAATCTCAGCTCAATCCAACGGCCCTTAAAACGCGTCGTTTTAAACGACGCTTTATTGTATTTTTGTAAATAATTACAAAATGACCCCAATTCTCAAACAAAAAATCCGAAATATTCTAAAAAAAAAAAATGACCCCATAATTCATCTCATTACACTCATTCTGATTATCTTTAGGTAAGATGTTTGGTTAATGAGATTCGTATTTAGTCAAGTCCGCTACTATGCTTGAAGCCCACATATAAATGCTATTGAATTAGTAGCGCCCCTCCTGCGATTAATTTTTTAGGGGTGATTAAAAGAGAAAAATACAATTTTATTCTTAAAACAATATCTTAATTTTATTAATTAAAAGACTTTTTAGAAAATTTATATTTAATACCAGAATTAAAAATTTAATACAAGATTTAATTTAACGAATCAAACAAAACAAAGCCTTTATAGAGTCTCTTTTATTTAGTGGATGGAATATTCTATTATTATAATTATTTCTAATAAACTATAGTAAGATAAGAACATAGAAGAACATATATAATCGAATTAGTTCTTTAAATATTAATATAAAATCATAAAAAATATAGAGTATATGTAGATATATTATTAATAATTTAATATGTTCCTAAATTCAAGTCATATCAACAAAATAAATCTAGATGATTATTTGTCTATTAATGTAAATTACTATGTTGTATAATTTTTAAGTTTTATTTTTCTTGGTTGTGAATATCATTTTTAAATTATAAAATCAATTATCTAGTATTTTTTTTCTCATAATTTATAAAAAATAACTAACAGTGAACTTGAAAAGATTCCGTTAAAGTTAACAAATTCATACACCAAGGGACTATAATTAAATGATAAAACATATCGAACAAATTTGACAAAATAATTTAGTCGTGTAAAGGATTTTACAAAGAGATGAAATTTCACCACCAAAACCGAAAAACCACTCAACAAGAAAAAACCCTCACAAACTCACTTCAATAAACTTACATCGGTTAGAATGGTATATACTGTTTCTCGTGTATATTTTGCCCGCAATTCCAAACCACAAACAAAGAAAATCGACAGATTAAGGTGGTTCGAATATTTTATCGAATGTTGTATGTATAACATCGGGTGTCATCTCTTCCTTAACGACGAACCTTTACCCACAGCTTTCATATTCTGTGAATCTTTGAAGCAAACAAAGTGAACAATTGTCTTCCCATTGGGGTAAACTGCAAACACACTAGCTCCTATCTTTTTGTTGCAAAGCGAGCACATACTATCGCCACTTATCTTCACTACGTTTTTCCTCAGGCTATAAAGTTCGTCTTTCACCTGTTTTGCAACCGCCAGCTATTATCAGAAATACAAATACTAATTTTACGAAGATTAATCACGACAAAATTGAGGAATCGAAACTGTAATAATATCCCATTTAGTCAGTCGCACACAGTACCTGTAGGTTTTCACTCTCTCTCAAACTCTTTATAACTGAAAAGTTGCGGTGTGCTTCACTGGATTTTCTCAAAAGAGGTCCAAGAAATGGAATTAGATTCTGCATCGACCCAGAGAAAAAAACGGTTTTAGCATGAATCAAGAAACGTTCGAGAATAAACATGTACTATATATCTAATAAAGGACAAACCTTCAATTTAGTTTCTCGAGGAAGCAGTCTTAAGGCCTGAGCTCCATTTATTCGATCCCATCTCTTGCCCAACAAATCAAGGACCTTATCGAGCATAATCGTAGAAGATCCTTCCTCAATGGTGTCGTCGTTATCTCCGTCACTCTTTCCACTGTCAGTACCGCTTTGGCTGATCCGAGTCTCGACAGCTCCCTCAATTTCAGCAATTTTTTTCGATAGGCGAATCTTAGTTTTACCACTTCCTGGACCAAACTTTGTAACCGCGGGGCTCTGAGTGGATATCAAGTTAGTGATCCTCTTCTCGAAGTTTTTGGTTGTCTTGCCAGGATTCAAATATATTTGTAGTAGAGTGAGGTATATGTTGCCATAAGATTTTGCTGAATGCTGTGGTCCAGAATCATATACTCGATCGCAATACGACAGCGCCAGTTCAGGTACGTTAAGCTATAATAACAGAGAGAAAGTGGAGATTAGTGAGTAGGTTAACATCTGGCGATATGCTTAACTATCTAATCCCTATATTATGCCAACAACAACAGGTTAAATTACGAATCCTTGAAAAATTACGACGTGAAAAAGTACCTTGTGAATGTATATGGAGAGAGCAAGCTCGTGTTGGTTCATCTTTCCCAACAAAATCGCTCGTTCTTCATACAACGCATCTGTTGGAAGACGCTTCAACAAAACATCGGGGTTGTAGCCAGATATGCTCTCCAGAGCAGACAATAGTTTCTTCCTGGTCGAAGAATACGTTTTCTCATCCCACTTTTGCTGAGAATTAAGATCTGTGTACCAATCAAGAACTTCCGACAGGTATATTTGCACCTACCAAGTTAATAAATGAACAAATGCTTCAGAAAATCGGTTCATTTTTTCTACTTCTCGACCATTATATTTAGCTTCTGAAGATGCTAAAGAATGAGTGATATCCTTACCATTTCATTCTGGAGATTCCCTGAGATACTATTTTCATTCATCGCAAGCATAAGCTCCAAATATGTAGTCTGCATATTTGGAGCATGCTGTTTTAGATATGAGTTGACCAGGTCGGCTGGAATGTTTCCAGACAAGAAGAGTTCAATAGTTTGCTCGGGACAGCTTTCAAGAACAAGCATTGAGAACTCCAGGACAAGCATCGGATCTGTGCCACAAAGAGGCTGAAATAAACAAAATACTCAAAAACATCAGTACAAATAAAAATAGTTAATGTAATATAAAAGACTTCTCCAGCAACCATGCTGCTCTACAATAACACTTAGGCAATACTTATTAGAGTGTTGTATTCTCAGAGTTCCTAATTAGATAATACAGTAGATCTTGTAAGGATGATCTTTATAAAAGACGGAAATTGTTCGGTTCCTCATATATCATTACATTAAGTAAACTATGATTACAGCAAAGTCTTGTTAAGTAATTCTAGATGGGTGCTTTGCAAATCTATACATGTGATATATAAACCAACTTAGCACCTCAGTGATAAAACGAGACTTACTTTAAGATAATCGATAATCATCTCGGGCTTGAACTTCTGAATGAGTCCAGCTGGTGGATTGCTTGAGTTTGACTCTTCAGATAATTTGTGAAGAAGCTCGAGTGCTTCACGATGCATGGAATTGCATTTATAAAGTTCAAGCAGACAAACGTACTGATTCCTTTCCCGCAAAAATTCCTCACATATTCTTAGATCGCAATAATTAAGACCCTTCAGTAGTTCCAGGGCAGCCGAAGGTTGTCCTGTCAATAGAAGAGACTGAAGTAATGCTGTGTCGAGTATAGCTGCAGTGTCCCTAGCAACTGAGCTGATAGGAATATTGGCTCGACCCTGTGAAATCGAATCACACTTTCATGGGCATAATATTGCAATTAGGTAAACTAGATGTCGAGTATTAATGGTAATGTGGTTGCAATTAAATGTAACTTTTCCCACAAAATATTTGCTAGCCGAACTAATGGATAGAGAATATAACAAAGTTATGATTTCTGTTCAGCAATAACATGTTTGTCTCTGTAGAGAGCTCGACTTTTGACAAATACGATAAAAATGATCAATGATCACATCTAAAACAGAAGCACCATACCTATACCTGAAATGTTGCACGTGAAAAATAAATATCTGCAATGACCGTTGGTTTAAATCGGAACTTTGGTATTAAGAAAAATAACCTAGTTTCTAACCTCACTGGGATGTCTACATAGATGACTAATCTGACTTTTTGTCCTAAATTCTGATACTTTACCATAAAAAACAACGAACTAAAAAAACTAAAAGCAAAAATGCTTACCTTGCCCGATTTCTTTGGCCGATTGTTCCCATAAGAAACAAAATTATTTCCTACGGCATCTGAAACAGCCTCCTCAGTTCCCTCTGCAGCAGCCTTTTCAACAATACCATATCTTTTCCTCTGCAAGAACTTAATGAGAGCCATCAGAGTGTTGTGGCTCATTTTCCTGGATTCGAGGTCCGTACTTTCCTCAGAATCCAATGCATAAGGAGGAAGTGAAGATTCCATATCATCCGACATGCCGGATGAACCTCTTGAGAGTTCTGGAGCATCACCACTCATATCCAAATATTTCTCTGGTTCGGGAATAAAAGATGATTTGGGAAGAACTATAGATGGATACAAAGAAAGCACGTAACTGATTTCCACTTGAGATGCCAAAAAATGTTCCATAGCATCCTCAAAGCTCCCATTTTCGAACAAATGGTGAGCGTATCTGTACACACAATGATTCGGTATTAGATTTTGGACTTATAGTAATTTATGCTTGGCAATATATATAACACAATACATGAATTCTCAATTGCAAAGCCCTCCTGTTATGTATCACAAATGAAAGTTTAACTTCATTTTGCACGAGGGCGGAGTTTACCAGTGCACTTTGAGTGGCTGTGGGTTCTCTTGTCAACTAAAAAGAAAAAGTTTAACATCGTCTCAACTGTCTAGAAAAAAATCCGGGCAAATACAAACCAATTGTAGACTTGCACTTTTTAATATGTTGCTCGTAATTATGTCAAATGATTATTGACGTCAAATTCATGAAAACATGATGCATATTACATCTCGCACTCCTAGAAAAAAAAAAATTATGCACTAGCTTTCTTATACCCTTCTGCAGCTCTTGATAACTTACTCAATTCACTATATTAAACTGGTTTGTGCCCATATTATCTGGCTCCTTGTTCCCCTTAGTAGAGAGATAATCGCTTTATCTGCCCTAGTGGATAAACTTTATCAAGCCAAGAAAGTACATGAACATTTCGTACTCACTCAGATGTGTGAGTCACTGTAAGGAGTTTAGATATTAACTTTTTCATTGCGAGGGATTGTGATACAATTCCAGGAGATTTGAATAATATGGATAAGGATAAGCCATATCCATAACTGCTCCAGAAGAGCAGTTTCTATTTAGTTATTAGGAAGTTAATGTTAGTTTTATATAAATAGTTTTTCCTTGTTAGTTTTTAGGGGGATTTTGAATGAGTATTCTGTGTGAAATTCTGGAGCATTGTCCTCTCCATACGGACAACCTACTTGGTGGATTTTATGTTTAAGATTCTTGCATTAAATCTACTTTTGTTTTATCTTTTATTGTAGTTTTAGTGTTTATCTCTATTTCCTTAATCGGTATCTATCAGATTGAGATATGACCTATCTAGGTATCCATCAAGAGAAGTGGAACTGAAAACAGCAACCGTACAAAATATACATTCGAGACAAAGATATATAATTACCTAACATGTATCGACTGCTCCTTTGCAGCTTGAAGGTTTGAATCTTCTGGAGGAAGTAACTTGCATAAAGCCAGCGCTTCATCGAAATTGCCTGATGCTGTCAGCTGTACAATCTGGATTATAAAAGGCAATATTGTCAGTGCAACTTTTACGGGTCACTAAGTAAAACATTCATGTTAAAAAATTAAGCTTCCTTGACAAGCCGAAAACCATTCTGTAGAATATTTCTCAATTCCAGAAGTAAGCAGGAAAGTTAAGGTAGCTATTTCTGGAAAGATCTCATGAAGAGAATTACTGCCTATATTTTTCTACCTAAGCCACTAACTAAGCCTTCAGATCTTGCTACTGCTGCATTAATTCGTAGAACCTCAGCAACTGGCAGTGGGGAAAAAGTAAAAACAAACATAAACAGTATGTCGAGGTTTTCAACAATAATAGCATGAGATATGTGCGAGGTTTCAGAAAATTAAGATGATGTATACTCCAAACTCATAACCATATGGTTGTGGCCATTATTTTTCAGAGAATTAGTATACCTGTGCACCAAGAGGAACTGGAAACAAGCAGTAAACAGAGTTCTCTAGAGCTACAACTATAACATTCGTGCTTTGAAGAAGTCGGCGAACATTGCGAAGAACAACTGTCTGGATCAGTGGATAAGGATCACGAAGAGATCGTATCTGCAAATCGATAAAATTAGAACTGCAAAAATTCCTTATCCAAAAGGAAAAAAATTTTGGTAAAATGATCATTTATGTCAACATACCTCAACGTGTCTTGGTAAGAGACCTACTGCATACGGCTGCTCAACTAGAACTGCTGTAGGAGCCTCTGACCAGCAAATCCTGCCTTCCTGAAGTAGTTTCCCATTCTGGTCGACAAACACTCCAATATTATCCTGCAAAAGTTTGAAACAACTAAATTTTGTCGTTTTCCATGAAGCTACTAGTGAAACCACAAACGGATGCAAGTTGGATAATGAACTTCCAAGGCAAAAAAACGTAATAATCAACTTAGTGACAAAACGAAAACAATGGATGAAGTTGATTCATGGATCTAAGTTAAAAAGGTATCAGTAGAAATGATCATCATCCATGTGTTATTTTTCATGTTAAAAAGAAGCATTCTATCAAAACTAGATTTTGCCAACACATCAACATCTTCTCATAGTGGATGGTCTCCGAGCTTTTAGGAAATGGTGACAATCTACAAATGTTTACGATTTAAGAGGAAATTAAGGATGAAGCTCGGTTCCCCAGATAAAGAGTATAGGAGTTGCCACTGAGATGACATTGTTCTAAGTGTGAAGGATGTGGTAGTCGAATTTGGTTTAGGTAACTTCCTTGGAAAAAGAACGACACAATAAGCCTATTACAACATTGAGAAATCCTAGTCGTGGTCACATTAATCACACGAAAGTACGTACTAAATTACATTTGACGGTGCAGTATTTCTACATTCAGTCTGTCAACGACTATCATCATAAAACAATGTGAAAACACAGAACAACATAACAAAAGTTCATTGTAAGAAGAACTCAGGCCACCAAGGAAATGGAAAAACAAAAAACAGAACGCAACGATATGATACTTAGTGTATCATGTAAATTCTGGCTATAACCCAGAGATGCCGGGATAAAGTATGTTATTTGAGCATGAAATGCCGATAAGTTGAATGTTCGATTCGTAAATGCAAGTTATGTTATCTTTTGACCAATGATTAAAAGAAGAATATTACCTTCCCAAGAAGAAGCTCTCCTGATGGAAGAGACACAACTAAAGGCGGAGCAATCCTCCCCGACGGGAACACCTCTGATAATGCACCATTGGTCGAATTCAACACTACATACTCTCTTCGGATTCCCACACATATATTTTCACCACACCATGACATTGATTTGACTGTGTCTGGAACACTAAATTCTTTCACTTCCACAAACCCCCGTCCCCCTGAACAAGCAGTAAAACTAGTATGAATCATTCATCTATACACTAAAAGAAATGGCCATATAAAAAACATTCGGCAACCAATCCAACATGAGTCCTAAAAATTGAGTTCATGGATCAGGCCCCACACAAATATCCGGGAATCAGTAACCATTTAAATTACCAACTTAACATGCCATATAAAAAGGAGAGTCGTGAGTCAACAGAATTGACCTCTAAAGCTGTAGGAACTATCAATAAGTCTAACTAAGTAGCAACATCTCAATAGGATTATGATCTTGGCAAGTATAAAAAAAGCTCCAGGACGAAGTTCATTTCTCATGATCTAAATCAAAAGAAAAAATGGCTTTTCATTCTGGCACTTTATGTGGCAAAATTGATGTAAAAACGCTTTCTCTAACTTGTGCCAGCAACAATAACCTTCATTATAATAGCCCAATTATGAAGCATTGACATCCAGCAAGATAGACAGCATTCAAGAATAAAAAAAAAACTAAATTCATGAAATTCAGCTCTTGATATCCGATTTACAAACAACCTAAAGCTATTTCCTCTAACTAATGTATTCCTTTTCGAAGAACTTACATAAAAAAACTAAAAAGCAAACACTAGAATTTGTAGAAGTATGTGCGAACCAGCTGAATTTCATCTCAAAGATGGGGATTGCATACATACCATCGTGCCTGAAGATGCAAACCCTCTTCTGCCGCGCGAAGCACAGATACCCTCGCCTCTCATCCCAGGAGTAGGCATTCGCACCTTTAGCTTTGGTAATCACGGCGAAAGTCTCGAAACTCGGCAGCCTATGAAATGCGATCGACTCCGATAGCGAGAGGAGGAGCTCTCTAGACTTGAGAACCTCCATCGCGAGAATCGGCTTTCTGGAGAAGCCATTGATTGTCCGCTCGAGAACGTAGGGCTCCTTCTTCAGCTCTAGGGCTTGGGAATGGAATTCAGACGGCGGAGGGGGAGATCGGTGGTCGGAGGGGGATGATTCGGGAGCGTAGATTCGGAGGGAGCCATCGGAGCAGGAGAGGAGGAGGGCGGAGCCGTACGATTCGACGGCGTCGATTCTGGCGGTGGAATTAGTGACGAGCTGGAAGGAATCGTAGGCGCTGTGCACCATATTTCTTCTTTAATTATCAGTTCTGATTTTTGGCTTTAGATATTTGAACCAGGGAATTTTTTTTTGGAAGAGAAGGTGTACGGAAGCTGCTTAAACGACGTCGGATTGGGTAATTCTATTTCGTTTTGGGGTTGACCGATTGTGGGAGGAAGGGGGGGCCGTCCCGCGCTTTTTAACTTCCTTCTTTTCTTTTTTTTTTCTGTCGGATTCGTTTTAGAATTTGGATAAAATTTATTTTCATATATACAATTCATGTTTATTTGATTTTATTTTATTTTTACTTCTACTTATTTTTTAAATGGTATTCGGTTATTCTTAGGGTGGAAATCGGACGGAATTAATCGGCTTCTTCGAAAAAATTCATTTTTTTTTCGAAAGTAAAAAATGGGTTCCAATTTCCGTACCAAATAAACGGAATGCAAAAATTCATTCCAACTGCGGCATGCCTCAAAATCGGCGAAATTTCGGAATTTCTTTAATTTACTAGGTATTTCTATTTTTCATATAAAATCACCATAAGTTATATCGTAAAATTATACTATATATTTCGAAGAACATCAGAATATTCGAAACTAAAATCATATGAAAAATCGAAATTTCCAGTAATTTTATATATAATTCCGATTCCATTTCAAATAAATTCGGAAAAGTCGGAACTTAGGAAATCATAATGAAAAATACAGTTTCAAATTGAGATATTTTCATATTGGAATTGGCGGAATACGGGAATTCCACTCCCATTTCCACCCTCGTCGTATCATCAATTTTACTAGTATTCAATATGAACGTGCCATGACTCATGAAATATTTAGACAAAATTTTCAAATATCACAGATAGTTCAATATGTATTCCACTTACCTCCTCAGTTCCCACATGCAAATCTTGATGAACTACAACAACATAGTTTTATGTCAGAAAAATACAAGATCCATAATTGGAAAAAAAAAAAAAAAGGTTTATAGAGAATGAGAACTCATAGTACAGCAGCCTAATCGAGCATGTAAATTCTAGAGGCGATGTCTTGAACCAACCAATCAAATCCATGGAGCAGACCTTCCCCGGTATACGCACTGCATCCAACTATTTTCCAGTGTCGGCTTTTATCCATGCCTTCCAACTTCAGCACCTGAATCAAGAACATCGAGTTTTAATCGAGGAAAAATAACACACGGATATAGATAAAAAAATATATTCTATTTCTGTCAAATCCAGTTCTTTCATTGTCCTTTTTATTTTCTGATAAAACGAGGAGTATTAGCATAGGAGCAGCACAAATACACCAAAGATAGTGCCGAGCATTCGATGGGAATAACCGAAGTTAATAAGTATCAATTGTCATACAAATATATCAACTGTAGATAGTGCCGAGCATTCGGTATGACTTGGCAAGGCAAATATTTCTACAAAAATTAAAAAATATATACATGATGTGTATGGTTGTGGTATTAGGAAAATAAAGCATCGCCGAATTTCTATATTGAGACTCCACGTTGCATAAGAAACATTCTCGAAAAAAATTAGCAGAAAACGAAATCCACTTCTCTGTTTCAAGCAAAAAAAAAAGGAAAAAAAATGGATTAGAAGACAAATAATCACAAATCCTATTACCTTGGCTATCTCATCGGGGGAGAGGGAACCTTGGATATCCTGTTTATTTGCAAAAATCAACAACGATGCTCCTGATAGCCTCTGTAAAGAAATGCAAATTGAAACTTCAAAATTCGCAAAAATAAGACAAAAGAAAAAAAAAAAAAAAAGGAACCCGATAAATCAACAATCTTCGCTTGCTTCATTCTGTAAAACATGGTTAAAAAACTACAGCTTATTCAAAAGCGACTAAATCTAATCTCGAATAATAAAAAATAGTCATAATTGTATGGTGGTAGCCAGCACGTATACCATATCAATGTATATTGATTTACTACTTACTATGATAACCAAAGTTCGGGATTCACATCATAAATGATGATTGAAACATGTTGACGAGCATATCTCGTAACAAATAACTTTACATCTCTGGGGCATTCATTATCAAACGCATCCTAAATTTCCACAATAAATTATAAATTTACGGAAACTCATTGGGACTTCATGAAGGAAAATAAAAAAAGTAAAGCACATTGTCAAATTAAAAGAAGGGCGGCGAACTATCGAATGCACAAAAAACTCATGGCAATAAGACTTTACATATCGTTTTGACCAAAAGATGATGTACATATACACACATCAAATTGTAACAAACGAGACTAAATGGAACGGGAATATAGAGAGAGAGAATATAGACCTCTTCTTTGAGGAGATTATCCAACTCGTATTTGCAATCGTCCAGCCTTCTCCGATCCGAACTATCGACCACCCAAACTAATCCATCGGTTTGCTCGAAATAGTTCCTCCAATACGACCTTATCGTTTTCTGGCCACCAACATCCCATATGTTCAAAGTATACCTACCAATTAATATCAAACGCCACTCATAATAAATTAATAATCACATTAACTTCAACAGCAAATAAGTTCATCTATTTTTATTTTTTTTCTTTTTAATCGCCCAATTATTAGCTTCCAAGGAATTTCAAAGAATACAACAGAAAGGAAAAGGGGGAGAAATTGAATGAATACATACTTTTGGTAAGCGATTGTTTTAATGTTGAATCCGAGTGTGGGGCTGATTACACTGGTATCTTCACCGTTGATCTTCATCACTATCGTCGTCTTCCCCGAATTATCGAGACCCCTGTAACAATAACCCAGAAGAGAAAAGAAAAAAAAAAGTGAATTACTGCATATATGAATACGAAAATGAGAGTAGCGGGATGGGTTTAGAGGTAATTACACCATGAGAATGCGCATTTCTTTCTCTTTGCGCTTGATTTTCCGAATTATACTCAGAAGACCCATTTTTTGTTCAAAAAAAAAAAAATATATATTTGTCGGTTAGAGCGAAGGCGAAGTGCAGGAGATGCGAAGTCTGAACAAAAATCGAAATGCAGAGAGCAATCTTCTTCTGCTGCTGCTTACTGACTCACAGGTCGATCAAACAGCGATCCAAACGACGCCGTTTCCTGATTAAAAGGGCAAAGAAATAAGCAAAAAGAACGGGGGCGGGATTTGGGGGCCATCGAGAAATGGAAATATATACATGCTGAACACGACGCCGTTTTGGAATAAAAGTGAAAAAGAAATTAAATAGGACTGGACAAATCTGGGGAGTTGCACATATATATGTAGTTAATTAATTAATTAATTAAATTACTATATTAATCTATATAGCTTCTGGGCCCTTTTTTTTTCCTTTTTTTTCGGCCCACTTAATACTAAAACGACGCCGTTTTATGTATTTTCCGCCAAAAAGTAACTTGCAGCCTTTTCTTTTTCTTAGTTTTTTTAATCCATGGACGGTACTCTGCACGGGACCCACTGTCGGTGATTGATGTCACATGACATGTGCATACACTTTGTTCCATTTTTCCCTCTTTTCAAACGTGGGTCCCGAATTTCTTTTTTCTTTTTCTTTTTATTTTACCGCCATACACCATCCCTATCTCTCTCCACAAATTTAATGCAATTTAAATATTCTTTTCAAATGGGGCCCACGAATATTTTTAATTTTTTTTTTCTTATCCAATATAAAAATTACGATTTTGAAACAATTTTTTTTTTTTCCGGCTTCTGAAATTTTCAACTTTTTATTTGATTTATATATTTTTATTCATTTGTTGAACTGAAATTAATAGTATCGAAGTTTATGTTTTTATTTATATTAGTTCCATCATTTATTCAAAAATAATATTACAAGAACCATGTTTCTTGAATCATTTATTCCAAATAATATTACAAGAATCATTTTTTTAATTAAAATATATTTTAGGTCCAATTTATTTTAACTTAAATATGAATTTGTTTTACATACGTAAATGCTATTGTGTGAACTATTTTTTTTATTATATTCATTGTCCAAATAGGACCCATACAATAAATTAGTGTTTTAAATTCGAACCTATATAATGGGCAAACAACACCGCGCATTGCGCGGTGCACGCCCCCTAGTGTATATATACACGTATATATATTTGTTTCCAAAATTCGGGTCAAGGAGCTAAGAAGACAGTTAAATCTCTTCAAATTAATACAATTGGGAGTGACAAAATTCTATTAATTTAGCGAAATATTAAATTATTGAACTAATAATTTAATACATTTTTATCAAGTTGGGACCAGAAGAAAGTATTATTTAAACGAGGTTATTAATTTATTGAGTATTAATTTATCGAGGTTCTACTCGGGAGTGGCAAAATTCTATTAGTTTAGCGAAATATTAAATTGTTGAACTAATAATTTAATACATTTTTATCAAGTTGAGACCAGAAGAAAGTATTATTTAAACGAGGTTATTAATTTATTGAGTATTAATTTATCGAAGTTCTACGGTATTATTATCATTTTTTTCAGACACAAAAAAGGTACACACATCCATGATAATTGTAAATTGTAATAGATGAATAATGTTTGAACAACGAATGTTTTTACACAACTCCCATCCAAAAATGAAATCAAGATTTTCCAAAACTGTAACCTATTTCTCTAACAGTATATAACCCCTTTGGCTTTTCGTAGTCAGGCTAACGATCTGCCGAGCAATTTCGATTTAATTTAACCAGACATAGATTTCAACTGCTAACTCTCGGGGCCTTGAGGAAATGTACACTTCTTACGAATCCTTTACCGAGTTGACCCACACTTTTCAGTTCGTCGAGTAGATCTTTATCTCCACTACTTTCATCTCTTCCTCGTTTCTGTAACAATAGTGAAACGGGGTCAAGTGAAAGAAAGTTGATGCATGTTAATATCGAAAGCCTTCGTAAAATTTTAACAACCATTTTTTTACCTTTGAGATTTTACTACTATACGTAAGACCAATGGCATCGCCTCCAAAAGAATCATACCACACCTTGAACATTTCAGGAAACTCCCTCTGCACATACAATATAAATTACAAATTAAAAAAAATAAAAAATAAAAAAAAATTGGTAAATATATTTTTAGTCGACAAAAATATGCAAATGACTTGCCTCGATATCAGCGACGAAATATCTAAGAGGATCGAAGTTGACCATAAGCCTACTCTTCAGTTCCTCCAAGTTTACTTTCGTGTCTCCAGGCAATAAAAAGGGGCGGAAAGTTTTGCTGGGATTCCCTCGTACCACTTGCTTCCCTGTTTGATCGACCGATGTGAATTGGATGTTCGTATTTCGTTTTTTTACGTGTAGCAATGATAAGCGAAAAACAAGAGATGAAAACAAACCTTGTTTGACTTCAGATGGGAAGAGAAGACTACGTGGATGAGGCAGTTTGTCTCTGTGCAGAAGAATGACTGCGTTGTAGTTGTTCAGAGGTGTGCGGAAAAGACACTGCATAGATAAGACGGACACAAATTGTGACTAAAAAGATTGCGTAATAATTTGAAATAATCGGGAAATAATATTTAAAAGGGCAGTTCACTCACTTCCCATCCATAAGAATCGGTCTGATTTTTCATGATAATGTTTGTCAAGAAATTTGCACTGCTGGTTGCATATGCAGCCAATCTCTTAATGTCCTGATACATTAACCACTCATTCCCATGTTACCATATAAATACATCAATTTAAAAATTTTAAAAAAAAAAAACCTCGCCCAAAACTTAACCGAAATTAACAAACGGAAAAAAATTCCAAACAAAGGTCGAGAACAATTACTTACTGTTGCAGTTGGTGATTGCCTGGTCCAAGCTTCGGATTCCTTGTCGTAATTAGTTGCTAAAAACATAGCTGGTTTATTATTCTGCGTGTTCTCTTCAATCTCCTTTCTGTTTGACATGAAATTCTCCTGTTCAAAACAAGTACGAGCAGATATTCATCAGCGCATAATTCATGATTGTTGCTAGAGAAATAATAAGTAGAATCTGAGTAGAGCAGCATTTACATTGATTTCCTTGTCGTCATCAGGAGTGAAATCTCCATTGATGTCAACAATTAAAGGAGAGAAACTCCAGTCGTACTCTGACAACAATCTTAGGAATCTGAAAAATAGTAAATACTAAAGGTCAACTTTGACAAGCGAACCAAGAAAATATGTCGGAACATGAAACTAGTCCGAACATCATAGCACGCAAGAAATTACAAACTGGATAAACATCTCAAGCACTACTGTTATCACTCAATCAATGACCCCCGCAAAAGTTTGAAATAAATTTAGTAAGACTTCTCACAAAGAACAAAAACGAGTCCATAAACATTAAATATTCCTGCTTTGTTGATATAGAGAATTCGATGAAACTAAAATGAGTGATAAGTGGAGGGAAAAAATAGACCTCAGAAATCCAGTTATGCGGGAGCATGGGGTTCTGAACGGCAAAGGCTTCACAAATAAGTGTGCAACCAAAAGCTCAATTGCCTCATCTGACAACTTGTTAGAGAACAGATGTGCAGCTACCCAGCGTTTTGCAAGCCTAATTAGTGAAACAAAAAAAATACCCGAGTTATAACAGGGACTAATTGTGCTTTCCTTTCTCTTGATTTTTTTTTTTTTTGAAGTGTCAAAATCTCACCGAACGACAGGTCCATATATTGGATAACGACCTCGTAAACCATTAATCATGCTAGCATGTTGACCGCGAAGAAAAAGTTTTTTGTCTGAAGATAGAACTCGCTTCATTTGAGCACCACCTACCAATGAGAATTGGTGAATTGAGATGTTAATATTTAATAATAGATCCAACACAAGATGTCGAAAAAAAAAAGGATCTATTACCTTGTCTTTTAACCAAGCCCAAACCTCTCTCATGCAAAATTTTAAGACGGAATGCATATCCGGAGATGAAAATATCTACATCATCCTCTGTAGCCGTACATGTAATCCCAAGTTTGGTTTGAAGGCTGCCAAGATGTATGTACAATCAGATAAATAATCCGTATGCTGATATTTTGACGGATATCAAACCAAAACCAACCTTTCCATGATTTGAAGGAGGAATGCAGACTTGGTCTTCTCCATAGCCAGCTCATCCATTGGCCAGTTTCCAGAACCTTCCAGCTATAAGGAAATTAGAAGTGGTTCTCGCAAAATGCTGATAAATAAGAAACACACACACACACGTATAGATATATATACATATTATCAGCTGTTCTTGCCTGTATCATAACTTCTAGAGGTTGTAGACAGGTTGCAGTGGGGTTCTCCAGTTTTATTTTAGTTCCTTCTTTATGTGCCAATGGATGCGGTGCAGGAGGATAAACAGACGTCAACCTAAAAGCTGTAGTATTGGTAAGCATAAAGCATTTGTTTATAATACAGCAGTTAAAAGTGTTTTTTTTTAAACTATTTACTTTTGTTTAAGAACTCCAGCTTCAAATACAAAAAAAAAAAAAAAAAAGAATAAAAAAGCACAAATGATGGAAAACGAAACAAATCTTAAACGGACACCAGAGATTTTGCAAGCATGTGACATTGAGGGTGCGAAACAACACCTGAATCCAGAGACTGTACGCTGGATATCTTCAAAGGAATGTCGTCAAGAAGCCGCAAATGCTTTGACAGATCATCAAACGCCTTTAACAACTTTTGGGAAAAGGATATCGGGTCTGAAACAGATAACCCAATATCAGTGATCTCCATTCAATGGTCAATTTTAAAAAAAATAATGGCCGATTAACCAAGAAACCCCAAAAATCAAACCTTTATTGCCATGGCAAAGAACAAAATCGAGTTGATCTACCACAGAAATGATATTTTCTTTCGGAAGGGATAAATGACGCATTAGAACATGCTCTGTTATTTCCTTTATAATAAGATGCCTTTCCCATTCTTCATGCTCCCAAGCTACAATCAATTAAGGTCAAGTTTGAGTTATATATCATTTAACTACCTTCAGAGCCACCTTTTTTTAAATTAAAATAAATAAATAAATAAATAAATAATAAAAAATAAAAAAAGCTGCAGGAGGTATGTAGATTGAGATTCTCACCCGCAACTTCAGGAATTGTACCGTCACGGAACATTCTTAGAGTTGCTTTATCACCCCAGAAATTTCTGAATTCCCGAGCCTATATAATACAGGGATCCCTTAGAAAATGACTGAGAGCAAAAGACGAAGTTTACATATGATAAAACAAAATTAAACCACCTTTTCTTTGTCTTCAGAACTTGGACCAATGACGACCTGTTTGAAGGCTTCCTCCACAGATCCAATTGTGATCCCAACAAAAATAGCTTCTGTATGCAGCACAGACAAACCCTAAAAGTTGAAGAATTTTATAACAAGTTGGAGTTAAATTTATATCCTCCCATTGTGTGATACTTCGGATAACACATAGTAACTAGTAGCAAATTACATACATTCTCGAAGTTGTACTCGGAAGAAGTGTTTTTCCAGATTACTCGAATGAGCTTAGCTCTCAATCTCAATGCTTGATCAAGAACACGATGTACCTTCTGCTCATAAGACCTCCAGCATTCATCATCCAAGCAATATCCAGAAACGTGGAATTCATGGTTGTCCTTCAAGTTCAATCTAAAAGACCGATATGAGGGTAAGTTTGTTATAGTAAATAATTTTAAAACATTTTTTTTTCAGCACTTGGCTAATGACGTGATTATCTCATCTAAAAATCATTGATAAGATGTCAGAAGATTCCAAAAGCTACGCATACACATATTATGAAGATATACCTTACGCAATAGTCATACTTAGCAGGAAAATCAATCTTGGTCATAAAGATCTCATCAAAACCCCGATCTTTACATTTATCCATGCAAGTAAGAGCAAGAACAGCCTCATCACGAAGCTAAACACAGAATCATTAAATATCATGTCAGTAGAAATATGAGCAGCCCATGTGACATAGATCTACCATATATACCAACATAGTGGAAGAAAATATACAAATTTCCATACCTCATGAAAACCACTTAGTGACATTCGAAACGCCAGATTGTAGTCAGCAAATGAATCACATATAATTACTGGGAATGATTGCAATTGTGCCTTCCTGACCTGAAACTCCAAATTTGGACATAAACATTAACTAGCCAAGAAGGTGTAGTACTAAAATTATTAGGCCTCGTTTGGTTGCCAAGATAAGATTAAATAATTTATTAAAGTGAAAAGTCCTTGTCAAGGGTGATTAGCTCAATGCAAATGACAAAGATAACAGAAGGAATGAGAATAATCGAATAGCAATCAACTGAAACTAAACAAACAGATAATGTCAAATGCAATATGAACATTCAGCATAATACCTTATTTGAAATCTTTCTTTCACCTTCAGGTTGAAAAAATAGTCCACTATCCCATACCTTGGCATTGGCTGCAAAAAATAAGAGACGGAGTCATTAAAAGATGATACTTCATAAGGTTGTACTGGAAGTGCATCTTGGTATCCCATGATGACTGATAACATAAAATTAAAAATTAAGCAAACTATCATGACTGAATTTTCACTGGTGGAAAAAATTGTTGAATCACTTGTAAGTAAACATATAGCCATAAAACCCCAAATAATAATCCTTGAGAACCTAAAATAGAAGCAATGTCATTACGAGAAGATCTCAGACTTACAATTGGTCAAAAATTATGGATCCTGAACTAGAAATAAACAGCATAATCACATGTAAAATTAATTTACAAAAAATACATTAGCAGATCCAAATCTGACATTGTCGCAAATGTAATATCAGTAAAAGTGAAAGAACTTCAATAACCGGAAATCAGCACTTCCATGAAAAGAAGATGCAGTATCATATATGTGCAATACTCAAACCAAAATTTAAGTTACACAGAGGATTGAAATTCAGACATACCAATAAAGTCCATCGTGATACGCAAAATCTGCATGGCATTCATTGAACCATTGATTCGATTTTTACCAGAAGTTGATGCAAGGTACGCCACAATGATAGTTATCAGAAATCCATTTAAGCAATCATGAACAAAGAGATGTCGTTTCCGAGCCCAAACCTACATCATCACATCAGATATATTTTTCATCCTAAAAGAAAAGGGCGAGCAACAAGATAAAAAAAAAAAAAAACGAAGAAGCACCATACTGCTTATCATACTTTCAAAAGTAACAAAGCCTCAGACAGTTCTTTGCATCCTGTAAAAGTTTTCTTGATGAACTCTGCATTATCCTCAATGAACATGTCCTCCAAAATACTGCTATTGTACTTGGGTGTAGCTTGTAAAAGACCTGATTCTGGAGTGTGCAATATAAAATTACATTCGAAAAGCAAAACTCGAAACGGGAGTATATATAGAGAAAAGGTTACAAAAAATACCTTGACTGAGGGAGCGAATATTGTTCCTCTCAAAGTTCAATTTCGATAAGGTGAACAGGGAGGGTGCTGTGGGAATTATTTTCAAGGAAAATACAGTATTTCCTGATAATCGTGCAACTGAAAAATTTACAGATAGCCTCTCATAAGTAACTTGATGGAAATAAAAAACTAGACATAACAAATAAAATAGAAAAGACAAAATATATACTCTAGAGAAACTGAACCTGGATAAACAACCAGTACAGGCTTGCGTGCCTCGTTATGGAAAGCTGACCATTTTACATCTTGGACTAAAGAAGAAACCTTCAGATGCTTCTTGATCATGCACAGGTAGAGGAATCTTTTTGCATGGTAACGATAATTTAGATAATCTTTTTCATGAAAACATTCCTGCCATGAAAAAGTAAAAGCAATTCAACGAAAATATTACCTCCAGCAAAAATAAAAAGAAAAATAGAAAGAAGCACATAGGCGTCGTATCCTATAGCTAATAAACCTTGAATCTTGAAGCAACAAAAGCACAATTTTTTTTCGTATCCTATAGCTAATAAACCTTGAATCTTGAAGCAACAAAAGCACAATTTTTTAACTGTCAAGATTTTGAAAAGTATTCTTCTGAAATATAGCTTATTTTCAGTATCTACTAAAAAAAAGGAACGTGCTTTTCGAAAAAATTATCTATTAAAACTCCGAAAATTATACATAATGTCAAAGTTGCATCCCCATTCACAAAAGGTGGAGGATTTGAGCATAAGTGGAAAAAATATATATATAAACACACAAAAGCTGCAATAAATAACTTTAATTTTCAGGTGCAAAATCGAACAAGTACCTTAGGCAGCCTCATAAAAAGATCAACATTCACATCCGGCTTTGCAACGCATTGATAAGAATAACTACCCCCAATTTCTATTGACTTAGGTTTACTGAACTTGAACTCGACTTTATCAGCGCCAACATCTCGAACAAACCCCGGCGCAAAATCCGCCGTAACCTACCGAAATTCAGAGCAATCAAATTCGAATTACATCACTAAAACAAAAAAGAAATAAAAAAACTTCCAAAGCGAAGTTAAATTTAGCAAAATGTACCTGAATGCCGTCTGGAATGTTGTTGATGGCTTCTCTAATGGCGGAAACGGCGTCGTTTATGATTACGGTGTTTTCTGGAGAGTAGTCTAGCTGCACCTCCTTTAACAACTCTGTCAGCTTCAAATTCGTCGAATCAGGGAATATTTCTGCTACAGAAGCCATTGTTTTTTTTTTTTTTCTCGAGTTTCTCGTTCTCGTTGGGGAAGAAGTGTGGGTGGGGGAAGGGGGTTCGTTCGATAAACCCTGGAACTGCAAATTTGGGTTAACCCCCCCCCCCCCCCCCCACACTGTGTAAATTGATGGGCCAATGGGCCTTTTGAATTTTAATCTGGGCTTTTATTCTTATTTCTGCAACTTTCGGGCTTCTAATTAATATTTGTTTGTATTTTGAGAAAATACCGTCTATATCATGTTGACAAAAGTCAAACAGTGAATGCTTAAAGTTTGCTTAAATAGTTAAATGTCATCTCGTATTCATATGCCGATAATCAACCATCAACTGTCCCATTATAGTTGGGCCGATAGTTTCAAAGCAACCAATGTATAGCTGGATCAATTGGTGGTTGCCGAAGTTCTTAAAAATGGGTTGACCGATAATATCTAACTTTTGAAAGAAAAAAGTAGCTAAATATATGATTAATTTATCCAACCAATAATATTTGTTGTAATAAATTAACTATTAATATTCATATTCATATTTAATAATAAAAATTATCAGTATTGAATTAAAATATAATATCTTAAATTTTATATAATTGAAAAAATGGCCAATAGTACCGTCGTCAAGAGAGTCGTGTTTTTAGTCCACAGTTGATTGCTACTCATTAATAGACTCATAAAAGTTGGGTCGATAATAATTTTAAAATTCAGTTAGTCAGACCGATTATCAGCCGATCCAACCGATGAACAAGCGCAACTTCATTTACTCTCGGAATCGGCCTTGAGAAACTACCAATGAATCTACGACAAGTCGAAAAAGAAAATGCTATTTGCGGTCATAAAATTGCTATTCGCGGTTTCTAACAAAACCCCCCAAAACTTTAAAAAATATCAAACCCCCCCCCCCCCAAAACTGCAAATAGCAAAAAAAAATAAAAAAAAATTCAAAAATTCGAAATCAAGCTTGAAGAAGGGTTGGGCTTCGATTTTTTGATGTAATTTCGACTCTTTTATGTGTAATATGCATTGGGTAGGTCGATTACGGAACCCATTTCATGTTAAAAAGCCCTACCAATCGA